TTGCTTAAGCAATACAATTTGAACAAATTTATTGAAAAGATATAAGAAATGAATTGATCATTGAGGCGTTCGTTATCTTTTGACTTTGGTGACAGACGTTGCGTTGTTCACAGATGAAATGCTATTAAAAGTTATATCATTAAAGTGGTAAACATTTTTTACTAATTAATGTATATTATCAAGAAAAAAAAACTGTAAGAAGAAAGGCAGAAAAAAAAGCTTTTTTTTTTTCTAAGCACTAATAGTTTTCTTAAGAATGCAATTGCACAGAATTGTATCGGTAGCAGCAGTGTAGTGGCAGAGACTAAAAGTTGAATAAACTAAATGCACACAGATGAACCGACAAATGTGGCTTAACCAAATCAACTTTTTTATCACATTTACAAACATATATATATATATATATATATAAATATTTTAAAAAATTTTCTTTTAGTATTTTTTTTTTTGTGGACCAACTTTAATACAATGTATTTTTTAAAGCAAAATATTTCAAATTGTTATCAACGATACTGAAGTGCAAGAGTGAATACTGAAGTGAATAAGGAAAATAAAAGCTGAAAGAATTTTTTAGGACTAAAATTTGGTTATGTCTATATTTTTCCCACAAATGTGATTTTTAGATTTTAATTAAAGAACAAGAAAAAAAAAAGGGTGATTAACAAAAAAGCATATATATACCTTAATCATAAAAAAATACTTTTAAATTTTAATGGTCTGCTGTTTTTTCATTGTTTCACTATGGCTGACAACTGTCGTATAGTTTTGTAAAAGTGTCAAAAGAAATAAGATGTATAAAGTAGTTTTCCATTACAAAAATAATATGTTAATAGTTGAAAAAAAAAAAAATTAAAAAAAAAGACAGGAAAAATTTTTGATAATAATGGTAGAAAGACCCTTTATCGTTCTAATATTTATGCTTTTACCCTTTATCGTTCTAATATTTATGCTTTTATTGCTTTTTTTCCTTTTTTTTTCTGATTTATTGATAATGTAAAGAATAAATATTTGTATTGTGAAATATATATAATTGAAAGTTTTTTTTTCTTTTTTGCTACATTTATTCATAAATTACATATATTTTTGAACAGACAAAAATAGGCATTTTTTAAAAGCATTTTGTTTTTCCACAAAAAAAAATTTTTTTTTTTTTTAAAGAAATAATGTTCCTATTCTCCCCTATCCTCTTTACTTCCTGTTCTTTTTAATTTTTTTTGGTTTTTAAATAAAGAAACTGTATTGTTTCTTTTTTTTACACATATATTGATAATTTTTATTAACAAAAAAAAAAATTGATAAATTAATTAAAATTAAATGCACTTTTTTTTTTTTTTTATAATTAGTAACTAAATTTATTGATGAATACAACTGATAAGTGTTTTGGTAAGCAATAAACTTTAAAAAATTGGTTATTTAGTTCTAAGTAATTCATTTGATTAACAACAAATAACCTTAGCTTAGTTGAATTTACATTGATAGATAAGTGTTAATGTTGTAGAAGACAATTCTTGCCAAAAAATTTTTCCTTAGATTTTGACAACAGCACTTAATGCTGATATTATCAATTTGATAAACGTAAAAAACCTATTGTAAAATGTCCAACAGTCATATGTGCAGACAAAAAATGAAAGTTTTGTTTAGCAATCATAAAACACAGTCTCCGATAAGCAAAATATCAGATAATGCTTTACCAAAATTATGCCAACTATAACGAAGTATCCAATAATTTTTTTGGTTAACATTACAATTGAACAAAAATATCAAAATTTTTTATTTAATTATTATTATTATTATTATTATTAATTTCTGGAAACAGTTTTCGAGAAGAATGCTTGAAATATTTTACTCTGTTTTTTAATAAATCAAAAAACATTAACACATTTTAAAGTTTGATTTAATCAACAACAATTTCTTTGCTAAACCAACTTTATTATTCAAGAATAAGATTGCTGCTCTGCAAGTGAACTGCTCTTTCCTTCTTTCTTGCTAAATACCCGACATTTTTGCACCATTTTTTCTTCGTTTCTATTCTCAGCACTTCCGCTTACTCATTTTACTTCGGCCTTCTCTAGAAATTACCGCCGTCAAAAAAAAATTCGAGAATTGAAGACAACAACAAATTGAAACTAAATTGAGAAAACTGAATAGAAACATTGTTGGCGTTTATTAGGTATGACATTCATAAATACTGCTTAATCGCAACCAACGATTTAATTTTTTTCTTAATAAAATATGAGGCAAAAAGCTGCTTTTTCTGCTTCTTTTTTTTTGCTGTTTTAAAATGTGAATAATACGAGAAATGCCACTATATTGCTTGCCATATTTTAGTTTCACTCTACCCTAGTGAATTGTCTGAAAAATTTATGCTAAAAACAAGCAATCTCCACTTAAGTCAATTTTATCATTATGCTCTTAATCCTCCTCCTTACTACTGCTTGTATTATGCAGGCGAATACAAAACATGACCATATTTTCTTGTTCGGCACTACTAAGCTGTATGTTCCAACCTACTTTGCTGCCAGATTCAATCTTTGGTGTAAATTCAAATAAATTGGTCAATCTGCGCCTACCAAACTGGATTTGGCAGTGATTTTGCCTGTTCATCAATAAAATTCTGCATTGTAAACAGGTAAAACTTTTTAAAATTGCTAGAAAAAAAAGACAACAGAAGAAAAAAGGTAATAAAATTACATTAAAAAAGCTTAAAAATTTTAGCTTTCAAAATTGAATATTATATATTCCCAAAAATATTTGCAAAATTCTGTAAGAATTTGTGGTTACAGCAACATCTGTGATGACAGTCCGGCATAAAGCAATTCAAAAGCCTATATATTTTAGTTCTCAGATGTACCTGAAAATAGACTACAATATCAGATGCTAAAAAACTCTAGTAAAACTTTCTTTGTTATACTATTTATATAATACTTTTTCTCTAAAGAAAAAAAAACCAGTTTTTTCTAGTTGTAATAACTGAATTTACCCTTTTTTTTTTTTTGTTCTTTCTGTTCTTCCTTCTCTTTTCTGTTTTTTAATCCTCTTATTCACCCTAAAAATAGCCTATGTTTGCAATAATATTCTTATACAAAAAAAAAAAAAAGATTTTTCTTCTTGCAAAAAAGTTTTATAATTCTATTTGTCAAAAAATTCATCACCAATTTTTTGCAGAATATTGTTGGCAAAAGTAGACTACAGTTTTTTAAATTTAAAAAAAATTTTTTTGCTTATAAAGCTTTGATTTAACAAAAAAAAGTGTTAAATCTGCGAAAAAAAATTGCTGTGAAATTCTTAAAAATTCTTAAATTATTTAGGTGGTCTTCTGGTAAGCAAAACATTAAAAGATCAAACAAAAAATTGATGATAAAACATTGGAAAATAAGTTTGAGTGTGCCATAGTTATGTCATATTCTTTGTCTAAGACAGCGAACGGCTTTAAGCTGTAATTTGGGTGTAACGGTGAACAACTGTACCTTTGAGTTCTTCAATAGTTTGCCTAACAACAACGCTATTCTCCAGATTACTCCAAATCATCAGTTCTGAATCTTTTTTTTTAAATGATTCTACTTCAAAAGATATTGTTCAGAACAATAGACAAAAAAAGTAGCATTTGCTACAATTATACTAAATACTGCTGTTGAAAACTGCAACCAAAAATTGCGTGCAGCAATAGTCGTAGTCGGTCTTTAAAAGTGTTTAAATGATTTGTTGAAACTGTTTAAAATTGTTTTCTTTTTAAGACAATAAAAATCTTACTAAATTAAATTATGGTATTAAAGAAATTTTTTTTTGGAAAAAAATTGTAATTGACAAAAATTAGTGAGAAAAATTTTCAATGTTAACAACATAATCACAACAGTTAAATAATTGTTCATTTTTAGCCATCATAAACAAAACAACATTTCTATTAATATAATTTTTAATAATCAAAAAGATGTAATCTATCTCTTATTTATTCATTTATTTACTTTTTTATTCGATTAAGTAATTGCATAAGAGAATAAGCTAACTACAAAAGTCGTCTTTAACGAATTAACTGTCATTTTGATACAGAAATTTACAACTATATTTATGCTAATTAACTGTTGTTTTATACACTGATAACAATAATTTTAGAAAAGACAAAAAATTTGCATAAAAAATGAGTTTTTTTTGTCTCAAAATAAAGAAACGAAAAATCAAACAAGTAATAAAGTTTAAAATTATCAGATATACCTAAAATATATCAGCAAAAAATTTCTGACACTTTTACAGCACATTGCTTTAGCGTTAAAGCAGCAAAAAAGAAAATTTCTATACTTCATTGAATTAACATAATTTACTGCTTTTTAAAAAGTAATCTTTTCTTTTCTTGTGAAGTTTTGAGGTTTTTTTTGTCTAAACCTTTTTTTATTGCTTTTTTTACCACTAATTATGCGTTTTAAATTTAAAGTTTTAATCTGTCATTATTTATTTACTTATTTTTTTTCTCAAGTAGAATTTATTCTGCTTTTTTTTTTGCTGTTTTTGCTTCTGTTATTTTATCGATGCACAAAATATTTTTTACAGATACTGCAGTTTAATTAAAACATCAAACAATTAACGACAGTTTTAATTATGTCATGAAAAAGAAGGGTTTTTGTATTGTAAGAAAATTTTTACGTGTGTTTATTAGATATGCTTATATTACGAAAAACATCAAATCGATTAAAGGTGTTAATCTTCTTCTTCTTCTTCAAAAAAAAAATTTTTTTTTTGGTGAAAAAAAGAAAGAAAAAACAGGTCAGCATATAGCAAAAATTAGGTCATAGTTTAATACTGCAAAAAAACTACCAATTCAGTTTACGGTGCTGTTTTGAAAACCTCCATGTATCATCTAATATCCGTTGTCGTTCTCCTCTCCTATGCTACAGCTAAAGGTTAGTATTTATTTGTTTCCTGTTTTTTTTTAGTATTCTTCTCATAGATTTTTGATCTTTCAAATCTTTTTATGTTTTATATAATCAGAAACTAACGGCACTGATTGACACATAAAATGTTGCTGATCACTACTTTAAAAACAATTCTAAACAGTAATTCGATAAGAACGCTTTTTTTTCTCTTTTTACTACTTATAGGTAAACTTTTGTTATCAGTTAAAACTTATGTTTTTTTATTCCAATGATTAACTGCACTTAATTGCATTAATTTCTTTTACTTCTTTTTTTTTAACACTTTAGTACTATTACATATCTTAGACGTTATCAAATAAACGATCAACAACACTGAACTAATAACATCGATAAAATCAGTTTCAGAAAAAAAAAAAAAGAAAAGTTTTGTTTGAATTGATTAGATTATAAAAGATGAGAATACTGACAGCATCAACCAAACCTCTAATCACTGACAATTAAGACACTTGTTTTCGACAATTTTTTTATATCAGAAAATATCTCTTAATTTATTCTTTTTTTTCAATCTCAGATATCAGTCCATACTGTCCAAATGCAGCACTACCGGCAACTGATGAAAATGGCAAAATAATTCAGTGTCTTCCAGGTACTACTTTATGAATTAACACTAATTTTCAATATAACTTTGTGAAGTCTGTAAACTGTAGTTAAAATTTTTGCAAAACTCTTTATTAATAAATGTTTCTATCGTTTCTTTTTTGTTTTACTAAGTTGTTGCTTTAAACTGTAGAACTTTTCTAACTTTTCAGATGATAAACATTCTTGCGGTGAAGGATACGTTTGTGTCTTTTACGGACACAACTATCAGTGTTGCCCATCACCTTCAGAAAATCAATTAGTGGAATGCCCTTCACCACTGATCACTGTTCTGGATGAATTTGAGAACCCCCTGAAATGCAGTAATGTTACTCGGTCTTGTCCACGGGTTAGTGTCCAGCTTTAGCCTAACTGTTGAAAAACATATTTCTTTTAACAAACTATTGTATGCATCTATTTATCAATGTCAAACAGAATAGCCTAAAAAATTTAGCTAACGTTTGAAAAAAAAATTAGTAAAACAGAACCTTTTTGTAACTTTCTTCTTGCCCTTTTTTTTGCTAATAGTGACAGAAAGCTCAGAAGCTAATAGCTTAAACATTGTGCCGCGTTCATATTACCAGCCGAATCTTTTAGCCGGGAATGCAATGTGTACGTATTGGTAGTGAGTCACTGTGCTGTCAAGGTACGGCTTATATCAACGGTGATGGTAAATTAGAAGAAGAAATCGACCGAGAAGCAGTAATAGAGGTGGAATGTCCAATTCATTCATTCACAGTTTTGAATGAAAATTCTGAAGTAGTGAAATGCGACGGAACTAACTGTGGAAGAGTATGTTCTTCTTTATGATACGCTACTCAAAAACTAAGTGGCTTTTAATTTTTATTAGCTTGTGGTGCAAAATATTTGAACAAAAATTGTAAGTATTCAAAATTTTTTATACTTATGAGTAAGAGCTATTGTTTCTTTTACATTCGTTTCCTTTAATCTTAAAACAGCTACTACTAAAAATAATGATAAAATTTTTAAAGTCATTGAGAAATTTTTTTTTACTGAGTTGATTAAATCTGAAATTATTCATTCAAAGATTATATTCTCTGATATTTTGCAGAAAAACCAGTTTTGCCATATAGATCTGGGTGTCCCAATTTGTTGCGAAACTCAGCTTGAGGCTCTCGACACGGAAGCTGTACAAGCAGATACTAGCTCACTAACTAAAGCTTTACTTGCGGAAGAGAAGGAATTTCAAAAAAGCAGCCCTGAGACAACCACAGAGAAACCAGCGACAAGCGAAACTGAAGCGGAAGAATCGTCAACTGCAACTTCTTCAATCACTGCTGAAGCATCAACAGTAACCGCAGTAGAACCAGACGACAATATCACAGCTGCAGCTATTGCTGTTGTCCAGATTGTTGACAGCGAAAATGCGAAATTAGAAGCCGATAATGTAAGTGAATTATAAAATATCTTTTGTGAAATTTTTCTGACAAAGAAAAGGTATTGTAAGTGGTTTTGCTTTTTTAAAACTAACAAAAATCAGCTTTTGTTTTTGCCATAAATGTTGACAAGGGTTTGTTCTCAACAGTATTTTCTGCAAATACTGGCTTAAGAAGAGTTTTTTGTAGAAGGAACAACCAGTGAAGAAGAATGATAAAGTGAAATATCAGCCACATAGCTATGGCGGTTATGCGCTGACAAAGTCGTCTACGCAGACTGGTGAGCCATCCAAAGAAAGTAACAGAGAATTTGCAAGACGTTTTCTTTTACAACAAATCCGGAAAGGCTGGCCATATCATGAAGACTTTTATAAGCCTCTGGGTAAGCAAATTTCACAATAATTTTACTAGCAAAATTAGCAATTTTTTTAGGAATTAAAAAAAACCCCTGTTTATTTATTCATTCATTTTAGAAACACTAAATAACAGCAGTTAAAAGCGACCTCTGGTAAGGACACCAATGGTTTCTTCAAAGAATGTTGTGTGTTTAACTGAACCTCTTTTTACAGTACTTTAATTGTTATCTGTATTTAAGGTTAACAATCGTTAATAATAAATGAAATGAAGACTTGAAACATTTAAATCTGGCTCAGTGAGTAACATCCGACAATTTAATCACGCACTTCTGAAGGTCTTGCATAAAGATTGATTGCGTAAAAACCTGCTACTTTTTTCTCTTACTTTTACAGTTTATAGCTTTACTTTTGTTTTAAAATTATTTATTAAAGCAAGAATTACAAGAAGCAATATGTGGTGTCATCTTTGAAACTTCAGTAATCTGTAATCTGCAGGTCTGAATGTTGAGAAGCCACCAAGAGAAATTTTATAAGCTTTAAACTATACAATTTTTTCTCCTATTTATTAATAAATCGAAATTTCTAAAAAGAGATAGTCGGTAAGATATGGTTTCACTGGGTAAAGCAGTCACAGAGTAACTTTATATACAAAATCTTCAAATTTATAGCGATAATATCAAAGTGCATTCTGGTGTGTGTATCATGCAACAACGATCTTCTTAGAGTTTCTCCAAGTTTTTATCTACATAATCTAAATTTGAGCAACACTTTTCCAGAATAACAACTTTAGTAACATATAGAAAGTTTTCATTGATTACTTTACTAATTATCTGCCATATCGTGATCTAAGACTGATAGACATCCAGCTTTGCAATTCCAACAAGACATGACTGACATTAACCTACTTTTTGATTCTCTTACGACATCACCCGATTATCAACTTTAGCCGTCATTGACGAACTGATTTAAAAAACAAGCATCTTCTGACCACTAAAGGAGAGGTCTGCACTGATGGCTGTGCATCATCGCTTGGGATTTTGATAAGCCTATGAAGTATTCACTGTTCCGACCACCCTTCCTTCCAGTTCCATATAATTGCTGCATGACTGTTTGAGACTAAGCTCAACTCCCGTGCTTTGATAGTCCATTTCCAGATTAATTACGAGAACTGTTCTTAATTTTCGGTCGCCAGAGTGAGGTGTACTCAGAAGATGCTTACTTCTTAGTATTGCACCTCAACTCACCAAGTTTGCAACCTATGCTCTCAAAGCCTGTTTTTTTTTTTTTTTTTACAGAAGATTCCCTAACTATTTCACTGCTTTCTTTCCCTGTTCACTAAACAGCATACTTTCTTCTTTTCAGAGATATGAAATTGATAGAAAATTTTGTTTACGCTTTCTAGATAAAAAATTTTTATAAACAGATTTAAAATTTAAAAGAAAAAAAAAAGTGAAGCAGTGATGCAATGAGATAAAAGAGCAAAAAGCCGGCTTTCCAACACCGTTATCATACGCTAATCCTTCTTAATTTTTTAAGTCAAAGAGATCCGAAAATCACCACTGAAGAATCAGCAGATTTTTAAAATCTCACCTGATGCACATAATAAATGCTGAATTTTTATCGCAGTATACAAATGATAATTTATATGTTCGCAATATTAACTGTAAATTTAAACAGAATAAATCAGTCTATTTTTCACGTAGATTTTCTTGACAGAAATTAACATTGTAAAGTGAGTTTTAAAAAATTTCTTTGGATACTTAAAACAAAATATTTTAGTACAACTGAAACACGATATTGCCTTCACTCATTTTGAACACATTAGCAACAGTTCAGCCAATTCTTATTGATTAATCGTTGCCCTTACAGTCCAATTCTTTATCTGATTTTTGGTGCATATAAATGAACAAAAAAAATATTGTTTTGTTACTCCACACATATAATCTGTTAACTATTACCTTTATTTAATTGAAATGTTTAAATTGCTCATATTTAAAAAAAAAAAAAAAGAATATGTAAGTTCTTATAGATGTCATAAAATGGTCTATCACAGAATGGCCGTAAACATATTAACTGCTTTTGCGAAGAAATTACGTTTAAGTTTGCCTATCGGTATGGTTTTAAATGGAACAGCACAAAATAAGGTCAGTACGAGCGACACTGTGCTTTGCTTTCTTTTGCAGTTTTCAACTAATCTGTGTCGTACAACACAAAAACAGAATTCGTGCAACTCTCAGCATTTGTACAAATTAAAAACGATGTTCTGTTCTGAATACAACGCTTGCAGTGCGTAGCATAAAATATAATTCATTTATGAACATCTGATTATGATGGAAAATACGAAAAGAATAATTTAGAAAAATCTGATAAAAAAGGAAAAATTGTCATTTGAATCAGTTAATTAACAGAACAAATTACTGAAGTCAAACAAATAATTTTTGAAAAAACTGTAAAGAGGTGCAAAAAGTTTGAAACAGATCGACATTTCTTTTTCTTCTGTCAAGTTTCAAATAGGATAAATTTAACAGCTGTCAAAATGATGTAAAAGATAAGGTAAATACAGTAGTAAGTTGTTAAAATTTTCTAGTATACCTATAAGCATATAACTTAATAATATTTTAGTTCCTAATTGCTATCTGTTACGCAACAGTATAACAGTTTTGATAACTTTTGCTACACAAATACATTTAGTTAAGCTTTTAAGCTATTTCTTTTTTTTTAATGGCTTTTTATTACTTATCGTTGAGTGAAATCAATAAATTTTTAATAGTAAAGAATTTGGCTTGTGAAACATACAAATCGCTAATGTCAGTAAACAGATGCAATGAAATCTTAAAATAAGAATAATTAAGAATCAAAAATATTGCTTATTTTTTGTCAACTTAAAGCGAATAATTTATTGAAATAAAAAATTGTAAAAAATTAAAAAATAAAAACGTTTTTTTTTTTTTTTTTTTTTTTTTTTTTAAACAATTTTCCTATTGATAGTGATACGCTGTCTTCGTTTTACCAACAAAACAGTTGAAAGGAAATAGAAAAACTGTGGAAAATGACGATGTAATAACCGTCGACAATACTCACAGTGTTAGTTTACAGAAAATATTAGTCAAATATTCAACAACAAAGATGTATAATAAAACGCTTTTTGCCACCAAAGTATTGTTTAGTTTCAAGTGGTGTTCAACAAAATAGCACAAAATTTGATCTATTTTAGTATCATATCAAAACAATTAGTGGCCAAAAAAACAAAAATTAAAAAATTCTTCTTTTTTTATAAATTTCAGCAATAAGTATAAAAACTTTGTTTAAAGATTTTTTTGTTTCCCAATTAAATTTGTTACCACATCTGTTGAATGAAACTCAACAAACACACATATCGTTCAGTATGAAAAAAAAAAAAAAAAAAAAAGAACTGCTCACTGAAACATTTATATCTGATTTTATTGCGTAAATAAGCGGAAGAATCAAAATGAAAATACAGCAACAAAAAAGCAAAAAGAAAAAGTACTTTTCATAGTACAGAAAAGTAAAGAAAAAAGATTTGGTACACAAACTGATTTGCACTGTGGAAGCAAAAAGTTATCGAAGCTGATAGCAGTCTGAACACTATTCCCCCACCCCCATCGCCAAAAAAAGAATGCTTTTTTGGAACGAAGCTAAAAACTAAAATGTTCTGAACTTATACGACTTGACAAAGCACTTCATTTGTGCTGATAATCTCTATATGATTGCTAAAACGTTGTTTTCCAGATATATCAATATCAAATAATTAAAGTATAATTAAATTTTCTTTTTTTTTTTTCAGATTGTAAAATTGTTATATGACTGATACTATTATGAATGTTATCCCTTTTTTTTTTTCATACGTTTCTTGGCTGATTCTTCTGTAACTTTAAATCTGTGCTCCAATAACTCAACAGAACTGTCAACAACTCAATTACTCAGGTTTCTTCTTAATCTAAACATATGAAAATCAAGATTTTTGACAATGTAATATTTCTTATTAAGCTTCGATGGAATATTAAGATAAATTTCCAGTCCTACGCTCCTTTTGATTACAAAACACTTAGAAAATTACTTTAAAATTTCTTGCGACATCAGTTTTCATTCAGCTTAATATAATGCATTAAGTTCAGAAAATTATCCAAATGCTCTGGAAACAGTGGTATTCCGAAGCAACCAATGTTTCAAGTTTACTTCTACGCTTGACGAAGCAAAAACCATCCTGAAATTTGTTATTGAATGGTCTGTTAATTTATAATGACTTTGGTACAATTAAAAATTCGTTTAACAAGAATTGATAACTCCTATGTGGATGTTTCAGCTTACTAGGAAATACACGGAAGCTAATACAAGCGACTTTTCGCGATTTGAATCTCCTGAGACAAATTTTTTGAATTCGTAACTTATAGCTTACATGGTGCCGCAGTGAACGGTACTAACGACAAAATTAGCGGTTGTCAATGATGATGACGTTCAGCGAAATGAACGACAAAGCATCGGGTCGGGCAAGAGCCGTGACTTAGGAAGGTTTGATTTTTATTTCACCATTCGTCTACAATTTGTTCATCAAAGTTTGGTCATCTGTCTTTGTTTATTGATCATATCTTTCCTGTTTTTCTTCTTTCATCAAAAAATTTTTTTTGTGGATTCCACCTGTGCTTTTTTTTTCGCACCCACTTTCATTTTGAGTTTTTTCTTTCTTATACTATATCGCTTATAACTGTTGTTCTTTGTTTGCATTAATCTTCTTAACACTGTCTAGGAGCGAAGAGGCAAAAGAGCAAAGGAGCAAAAACAAATTTTCTTGGCCACCTTGTGTCATTTTTTTCATAGCTTCGGGAACAGAACTGAACCATAAGCGTTTAATCGCGAAGACATCATTCAAATTATATTCTGAATATGAAGAACCATGTTTGCCGTTAACAGCACCAGTTGACAACCGTGTAGGTTTTTATGAAGTAACCCTGCAGTTTGTTTGGTTTTTGTTCCTTCGATTTCCGTCTTTCCTCGTACTTCAGTTTGTGTGCAATTTGAGAAAATTTTCAGTGACAAGTTATAGTTGTTTCTGGTTATTTTTTTCCACAACTCACAAACTTTCAATTGCAGCCAGCAAATGAGTGACTGTTATTGTTGCATTAAGGTTTCATTGGAGCAAAGCGTTCCTTCTGGTTGTCAAATCATTCATCCACGACAAGAAGTTCAAAGTATCAAGGGGAGGGAAGAAAAGGGCCGTAAGTGCAGCTGCTGTAGTAACCGGTAATTGCCAAACCGCCGCCAGTGGAAATAAATGGGGGGCTATTGGAAAGGTGCCAAACCGAGTTCAGAGGTTTGCGACTTGTGCCGCTGCTGTCCACCTGTGTTGCTTGTACTAACGAGTGGTCCACTATTGAGCTCTGTATCGTCGAGTCTGTGGTCGTGTTTGGCATCTTCTGAGCAAGAAATTTTGTCTTTAATTGTTCAGTTTCACTTAGAAACGTCAGTTAAATGCTAGCGAAATAACTTTTCTGAAGTGGTTCAACACGTTGCAAATTTCTATTGTGTTGGAAGTGAATAGTTGGCGTTTTTTCAAGCCTATTCTCGCTTTTGGTTTTGTTTCTTTTTTTTTCTTTTCTTCTCTTTTCTGTCAAATTATGGTTCCGGAAATGGAAAATGCTTTCGTGTTCTATAAATTTGAAATTTTGGCTTTTTATTTTTCGTTGTCTGCAATACTTTCTTGTCATCTCAGCTCACATTTTCTTTTAAAGCCTTCCTACTTTTACTGAATCGCGTAGTCTCCATTTGCTGAGCATTATTTAAATGACCGAGTTCGTAAAGGAATAATCAGTCTTGGCTTTTTGGAACCATATTACCTGGAAATTTGGTGGATAATAGTTAATTAAGGAATCCAGAAAGCTGTTAATATTGGCGTTTCTTAGGCTGCGAGTATTGATGTTTTTTCTGTTATTCACACTTGCATTTTAATTTGAGTCTATTCCTCTTTTGGATTTTTTCAGCACTTGTTTCAGGCTTTGAAGATATGGGCAACACAAGTAGTAAAGAAAACTTCCGGAAAGCTGTTATTGAACTTACTACGAAAAAGCTGAAAGGTGAGGAGGATGCATTTTGGGACGAGCTCTGTGCGGCTAACATCAGCAGCGCAGTGGACGTGTTTTCTTTGGTTCCAGCTGAGGATGTAAGTAATTGCGTATAATGATTTTTTGTTTTCTTGTAGCTTGATAGTCGAAATATGACTAGAGAAAATATTTCATATTTTCTGTCAAGTTTTTAAGCTCTAATTACTGCCTCTTCAAGTTATCTTATTCACTCACTTAGGTTCGAGCATTAAGAGATAATTCGCCAAATAATCTTGCTGCTCTGTGTTATAAAACAGTTGATAGACTAACTGCAGCTAGAGACTCACCGACTTCTCTGAATGCGAATAAGGTATTCCAAGTTAATCATTCTTTTTATTGATTTTTTAAAATAATTTATTACTTTTCTGAAGAAATTTTAGTTTATTTTTATTTTTGGTGGTTTATGTTGCGTTGATTTTTTAAATTTCGTTGTTATTTTCTATACGGTTTTGGCTGCAGTTGCTGCATTTCGATTTTAAGGTACTCAACTGTGTAAGGTTACTAACTCGTGTTCTGCCCTATCTGTTTGAAGACTCAGATTGGAGAGGATTTTTTTGGTGTACTCCTCCAGCAGAAAGTGACAGCCAGGGTGACCAACCACTAGCTGTAACGCTAATGACTGCGTTGTCGGATCTGTTGTTTTGTCCTGATTTTACAGTTGCTCCACTGAGCGGCCGCCCAGTAAATTCTCTTTGTATTTTTCTGTTTAGTTCACCTTGCTGTTGTGCCTAAAGTTACCGTTTGTATAATACTGTTAACAACAGCTGTTTCATACTAGAGGAAGGCGTCAGTGTTTAATCCTATTTTAGGAAAATGCTGACGACTTAACGTCGCTCGACAGTTGTGAGTACATATGGGAGGCAGGAGTCGGGTTTGCAACGAAACCAAGACAAAGCGCAGATCACGATAATAATCGTACTGAGATTCTTAAACTTCTACTTACATGTTTTTCTGAGGTGATATACGCTCCTTTAACAGGTGAGAAACAGCTTTCATCTAGGAATGTTGGAAAAAGGTTGTTTTAGTGTTTAAATATTTCTCTTCGTTTGCTTATTACTTTAGTAAAGAAACGGTTTGCGCCAATTTTCTGATAAGTTTTTTGTGGATTTTGGTGGGGAAAAAAATTGAATTTGATTAGAATGATTTTTTTTGTTTTAGATGAAAGCCGTATGCGGTGGATAGCTCATTTTACTTCTGCTGGTAATCGTCATGTTTTGCCCTTATTTACATCGTTGTTGAATGTGGTGTGTTCATATGATCCTATTGGGTACGGTTTACCATATAATTATTTGTTATTTTCTGATTCTCGAGAACCGTTGGTTCAAGCATCTCTTCAAGTCTTAATCGTATGTTTGGATAACGACTGTGTTTTGAAAGAGAAGGTTTCGATTTTGCTTTCTATCACACTTAGTTTTGTAGTTATTTTAAGAATTTTTTACAAGGTTGCTTTTTTAAAAAATTGTTCCAACTTGCTTGAATAAATTTTCAGAAAAGCGAATATGCAGATAATTTTTTCGTTAACTATCTTTCACGAATTCATCGTGATGAAGACTTCGATTTTATGCTGAAAGGGTTGATGCGCTTACTGTCGAATCCTTTGAAATCTACTTATTTACCAAATTCAACCAAAAAAGTTTCGTTTCATCAAGAACTACTTGTTTTACTATGGAAGTGTTGCGAGTATAATCAGGTCAGTTTCAACTTTGATTATGCGGTCGTTCTTTTTATTTTTAGTATGAAATTTCTTAGATACTCTAGAAAAAAAAATCGGGTGTTTTCTACTGCTTTAATTGCTTTATAAATTTCTTTCACTTCTGCGTATGTCACTGAATTATTTTTTATAATTTTAATTTATCAAGTTACATGTGTGGAAGACAGTAAGAAGAATTAGAGGTATTATAAATCGGTTGGACGGAAAGTTTAGTGACTAGATTTTATGGAAGTTGAAATTTTTTTCTGCATTTGAAATTGGAATTTCTTGACGTCTTGACTTTACCGTTGTGTTTCTTGGAAAGTTGAAGCGTTTATGACCGTAAATTATGTATCAGTAAGAAATCTCCATCAGTAGCTTTAGTTTTTACTTTTTCTGTGTTGCTAGGCTTTGTGAACTTTTTGGTTTTAGTTACGATGTGTTTCTAGAGGGAAATCTTTTTTTGTTTGTTAATTTGGTAGTTACCAGTTTTATTGCAGAAATTTATGTTCTACCTGCTCAAAACAAGTGACATATTGGATATATTGGTTCCTATCTTGTACCATATACATGATTCGCGCCACGATCCAGGTGCTTCCTTACCGTAGTTATACACAGCTTTTCTTTCAGAGTTTTTAAAAGGATTGCTTTTTTGCAAAAAAAATTTTTTTGGTAACTGCATTAGTTTTAGCACGCGTTGGCTTAATTCACATGGGAGTTTTTATTATATTGTTGCTTAGTGGTGAACGTAATTTTGGCGTACGTCTTAATAAGCCATTTACTGGGAAAGCGCCGATGGATGTTCCGCTCTTTACAGGCACACACGCTGATCTCCTCATTTTGGTATTTTTTTAGGCTTTTTCTCATGTATAATGCCTGTTTGTATTGATCACTTAAAGACTCAGTTGTTCATATAAGCTTTTTATTGACGTTCTGAACTGATCTCATCGTTTTCATTGTTTTCAACTTTTTTTCAGGTTTTTCATAAGTTAATTTCAATAAGCAATTATCGGCTTCAGTCACTCTACGATTGTTTATTAACTATCATTGTCAATAGTTCGTTTTCCTCTATTAATTTGACTACTTATTGAAATTGTCGTTGTTAAAGTTGAATTCTAGAAAATACTGGCTATTTATTGAGAGAAGTTATTCAATGTAATTTGATAGCGTTTTTTCCCCTAACTTTACTCAAAATTTGAAATTTTTTGAAAGATGATTCTTTTCTAGCGCTTACTAAGAATCTTTTGTGCTGCATTCTCTGACCTCCTGACTCTAGAACGTTTATATTATTTACAGCTGTTTTTTGCTTTTTAGAAATGAAGTTTTTTTCTAATCAAAGGCTTTTTAATAATTATTAGAATTGATTCATTTCAGTTTCTCCATATCTGAAGTCTCTTTCTATGGTAGCAGCTAATAAACTTGTCCATCTATTAGAAGCTTTTTCTACTCCCTGGTTTCTTTTTTCCTCACCTTCCAATCATCATCTCGTTTTCTTTTTACTGGAAATTTTCAATAATATTGTCCAGTATCAGTTTGATGGTAAGTATTTTCGAAACTTCCTGTTCATTGGGGAAAGATGATAATTGGTTTTTTTTTTTTGTGTGTGTGTTTGTGTGTGTTTATTGTTTTTGAATCTCTATTGCGAATTTTAGTAAACGTTTTATAATTGTAGGTAATTCAAACCTTATTTACACAATTATTCGTAAGAGGCAAGTGTTTTATCAACTAGCAAACCTTCCTGTAGATGCTTCTTCCATCTCGAACAGTTTGCAGACAAGGAAATCTCGAGCAAAAGCTGAAAATTCAGATGAATCAAAATCGCCGACTTCACCAAACTTACCAAAAGGTTAAAGTCAAACTCCTTTGTTGTAGCTCTTTACTCCTCGTAGATATTTCACAGCTCGCTTCAATTTGTTTATCTTCTTCTCCTAACTGATTGACGGAATGGAAATCTAGGCTCAGAAAAGACGGCAACTTTAGCAGAGACTCCAAATGTTTCTGTGATGACTGATAAGGCTGAGGAAGACTGGTCTAAAGGAAATACAGAAGTTGGTGAAAGCGGTGAAAAGGCATTTAAAGCAACTCCGGAATGGGTTGAGTCGTGGAAGAGCAAATTACCTTTGCAGACAATTATGAGACTATTACAAGTTTTAGTCCCACAAGTGGAAAAAATATGCATTGACAAGTTGGGATTTTTTGTTTATTTCTTGAATCTTTCTTATTACTTTCAAATTTAAGTTGGCTTGTAAAAGCTTGTTATGGTTTTTAAGGCATTTACGTGGCTCCTACTTTATTATTTTTTGTCAATGCTAGTTATTTATATGTTCGTTTTGCTACGAATTTATTTTTTCAGGGGATTAACCGATGAGAGTGAAATTTTGAAGTTTTTGCAACACGGCACTTTAGTCGGTTTGCTTCCAGTTCCTCATCCTATTCTAATTCGCAAATACCAAGCCAACGCTGGTACAAACCATTGGTTCCGCACGTATTTATGGGGAATTATTTATTTAAGGTTTTTCTTTTATCTTTACATACTGAAATCACAAATTTATCAAAGAGTTTTTACATATCAGTTTTATTAACTGCAATTATAAGATAATATTTCCTGTACAAAAGGAACGATTAGATTTATAACTGCAGATCAACTGTGCTTTATTTTGACTATTTCAGAACTCTGAAATTTTTGTTTTTTTTTTTTTTAAGGAATATTGACCCCCCAATATGGTACGACACCGAAGTGAAACTTTTCGAAATTCAGAAGGCCTAGGAAATATGCGTTTTCAGACTTATTTCCCATTTTTTGGTTAATTTTTTGTGATTTTGTCAACTCACATTCCCTCTCTAATTTCTATGGTAAAACTTTCTGATTTTATTGTTGGAACGTATAGATTAGAGAGGGATAGTGAATACAGCGAGATAAACTGGAGGCAGGAAACCTTTATTTATTTATCTACAGTGAAGGGTGTGGCCCCTGTTTCGTAATTTACTTCTATTACGGTGATTTCCCCTTACTCAGTATATTATCTGTCTTGTAAATTTGGAGACTTTATCTTATTGATAATATGGAGGTTACAAAAATATGATACGGTCAAAGCAACCATTGTTATTTTAAAATTTGTACATTAATGATTGAGCAGCTATTGTTGTCAGTTTCGTCGATACTTGTCTGTAATTTAAACTGAAGTTGAATAGCTTCTTTATTGCTTTTGGTTTTTTCTTCTGTATCTATTCTGTTACTATCATAGGCCATATGCGGTTGGAACTTCACTTTCAGCTTTTCTCTGTTCGGTACTTTATAGTTCTAATGCGCCCCAGTGTATTAGAATACTAATTTAATTTGTATGCACCTTTCAAAAACCTTAGAAATGTCATTATTTCTGAACAATGAAGTTTTTATCGGTGTTTTAGGCAAAAAAGGAAATTTGCGTAGTATAAGTCATGACTTCCTCAACAACTTTTGCTTTTGCTTTTTTATTTTTTTGCGCGATGTCGTTATCAAAAAGAATGTCTTTAGATTTGTTGGTTTTAAAAATCTGTTCTTTATTTTTGGTAAAATACATGTTTTTTTGAAAACTATTTATAACGTTGTTGTTTGTTTACTTAGATACTTATTAGCCAGCTTTTGTTGCCGTCTGTGACAGTTTCGTCTTCACTCTTTGCATCTTCGTAGTGATGATGGCAGTATCGCTAGGAATCGTCTGGCAGCCTATATGGTACTTTTGCCATCAATTCCGGGGCTGAGATGTCAAACTAATTTTGAAGTGCTATCATACGTGATATCTAAAGATTCTTATAGGAAGGAACAGAAAATTATAATTTTCTCTTATTTCATGGCAACTAAGAAGGATTTAAGTATCTGGTTAAACTTGAAGAGAGTTTTAAGAATGCAAACTATTATCTATAATAACGTGGTTAATACAGTTCCTTGTAGAGTGAAGTATCTGTACAAGGAACGAGTACTGTTGAGATTAAATCATGTACTTCGTTGTGCTGTAGACAAATTTATTAGCAGTTGATTTTTGACTTATGCTTCGTGAGTGTGGGAGACAATTTTAGTGTTTGTTGTTATTGTACATAAATATTCAGGAGGGTTTTAAATATGTTAGATTTAATGAATGTCAGTAACTGTTGGAGTGTTCTTATATCGCAGCTTCAAGCATTAGTGATATTTTCAATTTAGCCTTAATCTGCCATATTTAGCTGCAGTTTGGTTGTATACTCAAGGGACTCGTCAGCATTTCTCTTTTCTTTGGTTTACAAGGCTGAAACGCTAATGTTGAAGTTACGGATTTTTTAATTACGGAAGAATTAATAAAATGTCAAGTGGCTTTATTTTTTTTTCTGCAGCTGTGTTGTTTAATTTTAGAAACGTTGGAAACAAAATTGGTGTAGTCGGCAGTGGAGAAGCTGGAGGAAAAGATGAGGAAATTATTTTTCATCGGTTGGTACGAATAATATTGTTTAGAAAAGGTCAAAAGAATGATTGGAAGAAATTTTTTTTTGACTGTTTGTTCCTGTCGTAGATTTTTGAGTGTCTTTGTGAAATTTGCTGCTGCTCGCTTTGTTTGTCTAAGTGGTTTCTGACTAGGAAAGGGAATAAAAATTTTAGAGTAAATTTTCTGATTTGATTGAATAAGAGAAAGAAAGTTTTTATTCTTACCTGCAACTTATGGCACATTTATCAAGAGAAGGAGAAGGAGATTACTGCATTTGAAAAGAAGAACTTTTTTTTGTTTGATACTAAAGCCTTACTTCAATGCCGATCGTTTCTCCTTGGACATAATAAAAATAAAATTTGTGATGTTTATAAACTTAAATGGAGTGTAATTTGACGAACGAACATTATTTTTTACAGCACAAGTAAATTAGGGGAATATCAACAGTCAACATATCGAGGGCTTAAGTTGTATGAACACAGTATCACAGATAACTTCGTTTTTTTTTTTTCTGGTAGTCAATAAAATTATTAAATTTTAAACTTTTTAAATTGACACTTTTTTTACTCTTTCTTTTCCGAAAAAAATTTTTTATTACAAAGTATAATAAGTAAAACAGTAAAAAATAAAATTATTAAATTTCAAACTTTTAAATTGACACTTTTCTTTACTCTTTCTTTCCAAAAAAAATTTTTTATTACAAAGTATAATAAGTAAAATTGTCTCCTTTCGGGTTTTTTTTGTCAGAAGTATTCAATTACAGAAAATTCCTCTTATTTCTTGGTGAATACAGAAGAAGAAAAAAAGGTCAGAGAGAATTTTTTTTCTATTTTTTGAGTTGTATAAAAAATATGAATCCAAATAAAATTCTGATGGTTTTTACAATACACTGCAACAAACTTGACATTTTTTCTTTTCGCGTCAAGTTAAAGGAAAGCAAATTAATGCCATTTTGTGGTATAAAACTTTGGTAACTTTTTATTACGTAGCAAGACGTCTATCGTTTACTTGCCACTTCTAATTCCTGTCAAGTGAACAATAAAGTACATCAAATTATTGGTATTGGTGAGCTCACGCAGTTCTCAGCTACAGTACCGAATTTTTCACTATTTTGCAATTAGGAAGTAGTGAAAGTTTTAGTTTTTTAAAATTTTGTTCTTCAATTATGTTACTCAAATTTGCAGCTATATAAACTTGTCGATTTGATACACGCAAAATCCAAAAAATCTCTATTTTTCTGGAAATAAAAGCATTTTAAGGGTTTTAACCGATTGTTGTACAGGATAAATTTAGAACAGCGTTGAATAAACAGAAACCAGTGTTCTAAGAGATTAATTCATGCGTTTCTTATACAGTTTATTTAAAAGTAAATTTACCAGCTGATAGCTGAAAATAGCTGTTTGTATAGGCAATAATCGTCTGTAAACTATATCATTTATTTTCAACCTACATTTTGTTGAGAACGACTAATTTGGGCAAAAACAAAGTTGTTGTTGAAAATAGTCATTTGTAATCAAATCTAGAAAATGCCACTTTTGGTTGCCACTCAGAAAGGTGCAGATTTTTTCTGTACCAAGCAATTATTTGCGTACATTTAGTGCAAATATCAATCAGTGCAGTATTTTTTCTTTTGATACGCATAATTAAACTGCTTAATTGTTTGCCACTGTACATTTATAATATTTGAATGAAATCTTTTATCAATCAACTCAAGCAAAACAAAATACCTTAACCCGTTGTTTATAACGACAGTTTAGACACAGTATAGGCAAAAATGAGTATATTGAACTACTGGCATTCTCTTACTTCAAAAAATAAGAGTAAGTCAACTTCGGTATTATCGCTTTACAGAAGCTACACTTAAAGATTTTCTTATTATTTGTTCCACTTCTCAATGCTTAAAAGTATTCTGCGGTTCCTGTACAAAGTTTAACAAAAATGGAAGAGCGCAACAACTGTGCAATACAGTATTTGATCAAAAAGACGAGGTGTTTAAATTACGTTTTGGACAGTCGAGGAATTTTCAAAACCTTTTTGATAAAATTCAAATGTAATTGCTGGCTTGAGCAATTGCTGAGATTGGAAAAGTGATTATATGAGGCAACTAAAATGACTGCTGAGTAATGTATCAAATTAAGCTAGAGCATTTTTTTATTTTAAGCAAGTTGTAGTGCTAGAATTAGACGATTTTTAGCTCTTTACAAACAGCTGAGTTTTTAAACAGTTAACGAAAAGACATTTAGTATATTTATGTAATGTATCATATTAGTATTCAAACATTTTTTTATCTTATTTGGGACTTTTTTGTGCTTAAAGTCTCTGATTGACAGTTCCCAAGCGAAAGTAATTGAGCTATTTCTCTTTTGTGGACTGCATTAACAACTCAACAACATTGCAGTATGAACGGTCTCAACTATGGATACATTAAAAACGGAAAAAAGCTAAATGAAAAAGTCAATGTTCTTCAAGTTACAGACACAAATGCTAATTTTACTTCGCGAAATTTATTTTCAAATTTCATTTTTTTGCTCGTCTGGCTTTCGGAATTCGTTGCTGAAACTGTGAAAATTTCTTTTGCTTTTAGGATTTTTGTCTATTTGTTTAGTTGTTTGTGCTATTTTTTTACTTACTTTGATACTTATTATTTTTTGCTTTTGGATTATTTTTGCCATTTTTTGTTTTCAACTTTTCCGAAACTGATGCAGGTAAGAACAGTTATTTTATGTTTTGCTCAGTCGTTATTCACAATAAAGCAATTACAGTTTTAGGGTTAAAAATTTGCAGAGTTTTATCTTTGTACGGCGAAGTATGTTTGTTGAATGGAACTCAGGGTGAAGAAGCATTCTTCTGCGTACTCCTTTTTTTATGTAGACTGAGTAAAAAATTTCTCTCGTTCTGAAAGCTCTGTTTTCTTCAGGTTACGTTAATGCCTGTTAACACAATCTTTGAATGCTGATAATGTTAGC